ACCATTATATATAATCAAATATAAAATACAAGGCTCAGACCTGAAAGAAATGTTGCAACACTTTTTAAGAAAGTGCTTAAATCCGTCATAATGGTTGATCATCAAGAACAATATACTGGGTAAGACCTTCTGCTATTTTCACTGCACGAGGGTTATCATTTGGCAATTTCTGTCCCTGTAGTAGTGTTTGCTACACAGTGGGTTGTTGCAGCGTACTGCTGGTGGAAGTTTTCTCATGCTCTTTCTTATGTTTAGTTTTTAGATGTTTAATTGGGTTACTATAGTGTTATATGAACCTGATTCTGTATCTCCTCTTGATAGTGAAGTGAGTAGTTTGCAGTTTGCTATGATTTTGTTTTCGTTCTTAACTTTGAAGTATTTCCACACCCCAGACATTTTGTGGAAGAATGATACTGGGGTAGGGGGACTTATGGGGTGATGTCTTGTCTTAGGCAAGAAGATGCTGTTGCATTCTGGGATTGTGGTTAGGCCTTTGGGAAGATGTGATATTTGGGGATGTAGGAACAAAACTTGGTCCTAGGCTTCGGGCCACAGTATGTTGTTATAGTTCTGGTAAAATTCGGGAGAAGAAGTACGCTGGAGAAAATATGCTGTGGAACACGCTGACCTGGCACCAGTCAAGGAACTGTCCTAACTGGGAAGAGGGGATGCATCTGTCGGGCTTGTGAGGGAAGGCTGTCATGGTAACAGTGAAAACTGTATCTTGATCAACAGTTGCAATATGAAGCAGGACATATTTTTGAGGTACAAACTATAGAGATTTATGTTTCTGGTGTAGATTTTTCTATCAGATTTCAGTGCTGCACTATATGCTCTTACACCAACTAATCAAAAAAAAAAAAAAACTGAATATGACTGTTTTAAACTTCAGGCTGTGTGATATATCAGCGTTTCTAATGATATATTTTTGCATTAAAATTAGGCCTGTCAAAGTTAATGTGTTAATGCTAATTTTAAAGACATAACACATTATTCCACTGATTGAGTTAACATGCTGTATTTTGAAGTTAGTATGAGCAAATTATTTTAATGGTGGCCCAAAGCATTAGAGCTAGGGTTGTGACATTGTCCCCGAATTTTAAATCATAAACTTTTTTTTTTAATCTTTATTTTGAGACTTCAATTTAGAATAAATTTCAATACGGAATAGTTGCACATTTGCAAACAGGGAAGGAAACCCTGTATTTGCATTTCATTTTGGGCACACTTTTAATAAAAGTGTTTGTGACATTGTTAGTGAACGAACATTTATCCCACTTCACAGAAAATCATATCGCCCAGCCCTAGACCCTACAAAATTATATATCTATGATCATGCAATCAGTTTAGCATTGTTCTGATTAGAGGGCATGTTGGTTTTCTTTAATTAGCCTTAGTAAAATAAGCAGTCACTGGTAATATCAGCAAAGCCTCGGGCCAAATGGTCCAGGTGATGTAATATTCATGCTTCGTAGTGTGGTTAATGGGCAAGAAAAGAAAGGGGGGCTGTCAGAATGACAGCACTGTATCCCTGGGTAACCCTGTCACCTGCTCCGTCCATCTAACCCACACTCCTCACACATTCACCAACCTGTACAATTTATAGAAGTACTGGATGGGTCAACTGAAAATGTGAAAGACAATAAATTCTATGGCAGAAATTAGCAGCTATGGTTATCTAATTCTTCATACTGCACATGGT